CTATTCCCAGCTCCACGCACGTAGCCATTTCGGCCCGCGTTCCTCGGCACTCACACTCTTCTCACGACGTTTGGTCGCCCATGAGAGATTCCCTCGCCCACCAGGTTGGCGAGAAGCACATTCACATCAGTAACGAGTTCTCGCGATGGATTGACACAGTGGAGCGCGCCATCACCAGCCACCATGGCCCCAGTGTGCCCAGGCTCTCCACGCGCGAGGGCTTCACGGCGCAAGTCATGCCCGTGCGCCACGCCGAGCATGTTCGGAATCGGCCGCTCAAGGACGGGGCGGCAGGCTGGTGGAGCAGGTTGCACGCGGTCATCCAGCGCGCTTTGCGGCACCGTCGCAGGCGCAAAAGGCGAGAGCCGGGCGGCGCTGCTGGCGGAGGAAGCCAGACGCTTGGCAGAGCTGGCCGCCCGACGGAACTGGCTCAGCAGAGGCCACCTGCGAAGGGAACGCTGGAACACGCTGCTCGCCGACACGCGGAGGCCTGGCGATTCTGGATGTTCAGCAGCTCACCGCACGGGAAGAAAAGTGCTTCCAGGCCGCCCGACGAGTCCAGAGTCGGGCCGCAGCGTCGTCGCTGCGAGGGCTTCAAGATTGGATCAGCTCTTCGGCATCGCAGGGCCAGGCTCACCGCGGCGTCAAGAACGACGAGCCTGAGCCCAACGAGTGCGAGGGCGGCTCCGCCACGCTCCTACACCCGATCGACATCGTTGACGGGAAAGCTGAGACGCGGCAGGCCAAGTGGAGAGGCTCGGCGCCTCACGAGAGCATCATGGTCACGTTCACCCTCGCCAGGTCTCTTGCGGAGGTCGAGACGGCCAAGTGGAGAGGTTCGGCGTCTCACGAGAGCATCATGGTCACGTTCACCCTCGCCGGGTCTCTTGCGGAGGTCGAGACGGCCAAGTGGAGAGGTTCGGCGTCTCACGAGAGCAGCATGGTCACGTTCGCCCTCGCCGGGTCTCCTGCGGAGGTCGAGACGCTCGAGCCTCTATGGCGGTGAGTGGGCTGCGGACGGCGCCGCGGAGCACGCAGGCTCGCGCAGGCTTGGGCGCGGGCCGCCTCGCGCCCGCCGACTTCGAGCGCCCGCCGCAGGGGGGGGCTCCAGGACGTGTGTGACCTCTTCGCCATGAGCGAGGAGGGCCTCTCCTGGCCATGGCAGGGCACGTGCACGATCGGCGGGCGGCTCGCCAAGAGGTCGGGCGGCGGCCGTGCCAGTGGCCTGCTGCCGATGCTGCGTCGCGCCTGGCCCACGGTCAGGGAGGCGCAGGTGAAGGATTGGTCAGCTCAGCAGGATGATAGCTGGGATGCGGCGATCGCTGGCAACAGCGCCCTCAAGGAGGCGTTCACCAAGGCGCTGCAGGACGAGTCCCAGTCCAGGATAAATATCGCGCACGGGCACGGGCTTCTCGACGCGGAGGCCTTCTACGACGGCATCGAGTGGGGGCCGCTCGCGAGATGTGCGGCCAAGAAGGGGCGTCCTCCAGTGATTCTCTTCTTGGAGCTGCAGCTGCGCCTCATCCCGCGGCTTTTTGCGCAGCTCGACTCAGTGTCGGAGCCCTTCCAAGCCACGTGCTCGATCGTGCAGGGGCTCAGGAACCGCACGCGGTTCGCCAAGTGCCTGACCGCGTTCGTGTGCAAGAAGTTGCGCGTAATGCATCCGTTGATATCGGAGCGGATCTGGGTCGATGATCTTTCTCAACGGGTAGCAGGTTCTCGGAAGCATGTGCGCACCACACTCATCAAGGGGATCCTCGCCACAGTCAGGGAATTCAAGCACCTTCGCCTCGGCATCTCTCCCAATAGCGCGGTCACCTGCGTTCATCATTGCGACGCGGTTGCAGTTGTCAAAACTCTGCGGCGGCGAGGCGCATCGCTGTCCGCGGCGCTCCAGGCAGCCCACTTGGGAGTGGGCCTGGGTGCGGGGCGCCGCCAGGGCAAGGCCACGGTGCGCAAGAGAGCCACCAAGGCCGCCAAGACCCACGGCAGGCTTCGCCGCTTTGCTCAAGCTGCGCGGCGGTGGCAGGCGACGGCGAAGCTGCAGCAGGCGGGGCTGCAGGCGTCGGCGGTGCACGGCCACCAGGTCCACGGCGCGTTCGGCTCCAACATGCTGCTGCAACGGAGGCGCTTGGGGGCCGCCGCGGGGTCCTCGACGAGAGGGCGCTGTCTCACCACGCTCTTGGCCATGCGGCTCCCAGGAGCCGATCCAGGAGCTCTTCTTCCTCCGCAGTGCGTGTCCCTCTGGCTCTCGGCGCGGCTGGAGGAGCCGCAACTCAGGCCGTCTCTCTCGCTGGCGTGGCCAGCCACGGTCAGGCATCTGACGAGCATCAAGCCTGAGCTGCGCAGCCGTCATGTCCGAGGGCCACTCTCGACAGTCGTACTCTACCTGCTGGAAGCGGAGTGGGCGCCAGTATCGCCAGTGGAGCGGGATGCGCCGAATGACGGTGCTCAGGCCGGCTTCCCTTGGAAGCTCGGAGGTGCCGAGTTCTCGAGCCTGGATCTGGCCACCCCACTGCTTGGCGAGCTGCAGTCTACGATGGGAGCTCAAGCCACTGTCCCCACTGTTCCCACTATTGTTCCCGCTGTCCCCACCAGTGCCCCCACCAGTGTCGCAGTGTCCCCACTCTCGCTGTCCCCACCACTGCCGTCCCCACCACTGTCCCACTGTCCCCCCCACCACTGTCCCGCTGTCCCCTCACCACTGTCCCCAGCACCACTGTCCCCACCACTGTCCGCACCACTGTCCCACTGTCCCCACACCACTGTCCCCACCACCACCGTGCCCACCACTGTTCCAATATCCCAGCCACTGTCCATCTGTCCCGAGGAGCGGGAATCGTTTGCTGGCGGCGCCGGGGGGGGGTTCGAACCGGTAGTGACCCCCCCCGTTTTCGAAGGGGGGGGGACGGGTTCGAACCGGTAGTGACCCGCCTTCCTTTTCATGATGGACCGGGGTGGGGGGGGCTTCGAACCGGTAGTGACCCCCCCCTCCGGTTTTCGAGGGGGGGGACGGGTTGGGAACCCCCAGTGACCCCCCTGGTTTTCCGCCAGCAGCGGTAGAACACGCTCTTTCTTATCGAGGGAAGCGGGAGGAGGACAGGAGAGGAACGCGGGGCACTGTCTCTTCAAAACGAGAACCGAACACCACAGCTTGGTTGGGAAAGGGAAGAAGACGATGAACAACATTGATAACAATAACCACAATACTGGCAAGAAAAATAATTGGCAAGAGGAAGTGGTCCAGAATAGAGGGGTTGATGGCAACGCAGAATATGCGATTGGTCGTGCAAGCTATATGGGGAGCGCGAGCGTTGCATTACTCACAGGACAGCAATATGCGGACGAGGACAGGGGGCCCTTGATTCGCGGAGGAAACAGGGGGCAGGGAAAGGACGGAAGGGGGGCCGAAACGTTAACGCGACAGCAAGAGTAAGACGGTGAAGGAGGAAGAGGTCGACAGCGACAAGGACAACGGCAACCATTCCCCAATGGCGATCAGTTCCCTATGGCACGCTAAACAAACAACGCGACCCGCACCATGTCGTTGTAGCGCTCCAATGGAAAAGCTGTTCAGGGTGAGTGCAAGAAGCGAAGAAGGCCGAACTAAGTTCCCCGCTTCTTCCTGCACCTCTGAACGCCCGCAGGCGCGCCGCCAGGTCTTCGGGCGGCCCGCGGGAGAAAGGACCCAATGCGGATCTGAAAAATCTGCGCAGGACGTCGCTATGCTGGACCCCCGCTCCCCAGCAGCACCTCGAAAGTGGTGACCGTTTCGCAATTCGCAAACCTCAGCGACAGCAAGGTCCTGCTCTGATCTGCATCAGACGTCACCCCGCTGGACCCACCCGCTGGAGCCGCCCCGCTGGACGCACCAGCCGCAAACCTGCACCCCTGAGCTTGTTTTGTCACCACATTGCGCAGCAGCGGGAGCGTGAAACAGGAGGAGGGGGGAGGAGGAGGGGAACGGGCGCTGTGCGGCGGACCCCTGCGGCCCAAACTGCCACTCATACAATATTCAAAAACGCACAGCGGCAACCCAGGTGGCAGGAGCGAGCAGGGGACAGAGGGGGAACGCCAAAGGAACATGACAAGCCAGCAAAGGCCCGTCAGAGAATCTGGCGCGTGCGAAGACCAGCAGATCTCGAAAGTGGCGACAGTTTCGCAGCTCGCAGCCGCCCCCGCACTGATCTGCGTAAGACGTCACTCCGCTGGATCTATCAGCAGACCTCGAAAGCGGCCACATGTCACAGTTCGAAGCCCCCCAGCGACGGCGAGGTGTAGAGGGCAAGAAGACGAGGCAAGAGGAGAGAGGAGGGGTGCGAAGGTGGACACCGCAGTGCCCGATTCAAAACGAGAACCCACCGGATGAGGCTTGGGAAAACGAAGCGCGAGAACACTCAGGAAACCCCAGGTCGCCCCCAGGAGCCCCAACAACGTCCAAGAACCTCCTCCTCCTCCTCCTCCTCCTCCTCCTCCTCCTCCTCCTCCTCCTCCTCCTTCTACCCCTCCTCCCCCGCCTCGTTCTGAGCCTGGTCCGCCTCCTTCTCCTCCTCCTCCTCCTCCTCCTCCTCCCCCTCCTCCTCCTGTGGCCTCTCGAGGTCACCAGACGTCCGACGATCTGATTTTCCCCGATCGCGGCCCGAGAGGCCGCGGCCCCCTCCCCGCGGCTGGCCAGCCCCCAAAACCACCGGCTCGGCCCCCTGACGCCCGAGGACGGGCCCCCGGGGCCGCAATCGAGGAGAGACGCCAGGAGACCGGAGACGTGGGCCTCCCGGGCCTCCCGAGCACTCTGCGGAGGGGCCTCTGCCGACGAGGATGAAGGGGCCCTGGGACACACGAAGAAATACACACAAACAAACGGATTCCCCATATTTTCCCATATGTTCTGGGTTCTTGTCTTCCCCCCCCACTTCCCATAGTTTCCCATATCTTCTGGGGAATCGACGATGGATTGTGTCTGCGTGTTTTTGTCCCCCCCTGAGAGGCCGGCGGCTGCAGGCCGCGAGGCGGCGCGGATCAGGAACTGGCACAGGCCGAGGTCTACGCACTGGCGCCCCAGCATGTCCCACAGGCGGCCAGGCGTCGCGACGAGGATGTCCTCTCGGGCAAAACCCTCGCAGGCGGCGCCAACACGGGGGCGGCGCGAGGGGAGTGGGCTCCTGAAGAGGCAGGAGGGCTTCTCAGAAGGCAGGGGCCATGTAGAAAGGCCCGGAGGCTTCTGGGAAGGCGTTTCAGAAGCCACCTGGCCCCTCAGAAGCGCCCCCGCCTTCTTACAAGACCGCCCTCCTCGCACCCGCCCTTTGAGGCCGCGGCCAATCTCGAGCGCCACGGGGTCGTCATGGTCGTCGCTTTCCTCGTCGTGGTCGACGTCGTCGTCGTCCTCCTCCTCGTCCTCCTCGTCCTCCTCCTTCTCCTCCTCCTCCTCCTCCTCCTCCACCTCTTCCTCCTCTTCCTCCTCTTTCTCCTCCTCCTCTTCCTCCTCCTCCTCCTCCTCCTCCTCCCCTTCCCCCTCCTCCTCCTCCTTCTCCTCCTCCTCCACCTCCTCATCGTACTCGTCTTCCTCCTCCTCCTCCTCATCTTCCTTTCCTCCATGTTCTCCTCCTCCTCCTCCTCCTCTTCCTCCTCCTCCTCTTCCTCCTCCTCCTGGTCCGTACGGCGAACTGCCATCCTGCCCGCCGCTGCCCCCGGACGAGGGGAGCTCCTCTCGGGCAGCTCTCGGGCGCGAGGGGAAGGGAGCACGGTCCGGGGAGCGAGGACCGAGGGGTCGACGGGTCGACGGATCGAGGCGTCGAGGGGTCGACGGATCGAGGGAGCGAGGGAACGACGAGTCAGGGGGCCGAGGGAACAGGGGGCGACTCTCTCCAGGCCCGCCTGCGTGGACGGGCCGCCGCTTCTCTGCACGGCACCGCGCTGTCGACCTCCTCGTGCTGCTGCTGCTGCTCCTTCTCCTCGCCATCTATCATCACCACCACCACCATCCCCATCCCCATCCCCATCACCATCATCATCATCAGCATCAGCATCATGATCAACATCATCATCCTGACCGTCGTCAACATCCTCGTCGTCGTCAGTATCCCCTCATCATCCTCGTCGTCCCCTGTCTTTCGCAAACCCCAAAACACACAGTGTTGGCAGTCTGGTATCGCTAGACCGTGGAAGAGAAACATGAACGATAACGAACAGGAGAGCCAGAAGACAGAGGGCGGGGAAGACGGGGAAGGCAAGAAAGCGAGGCGGCTGGAGTGAGAAACAAGCAATGAGAACAAGAGACAGTTAGCGAAAGTTATCGAAAGTCAATGCTGCACGCGACCCGCCATCCTGCAATCTCACAAGTTCGCGCAGCGAATCGAAGGGAAACCTATCGATTGCAACCTGTTGTCCACGAGCTTGATCGCGCCACGGCGAAGCCTCGTCTGTGAAGAATTGTTCAACTGGGCCCCACGCAGACCAAAATGTCCGAGCACCGACAACGCGGTCATCATGTTCGAACGCAGTTGCAAGCGTCCTGTCAAGCCAAACGCCGACATCCTCCATCGTCCCTGGGTGTGCTGGGCCAGCCTCCCTGCCGCCGCACGAGGACGTCGAGTGCGTTGTCACGCTTGCCTGGAAAGCACGTTGTACTGCCAAATGGCGGTGGGAACTCGCATCGGGGTCGCTCTCGACGCCGCGACTGTCATCATCCTCTTGGTCACATCTTCGTCTGGGTCCTCTCTGCACTCCCCGCTGCCAGCGCTGGCAACAGAGCTCGAGCAGCCACTGGTTGGCCACAGACGCCGCCACCAAGTCTGGATGGAAGCAGGCGTTTCTTGGCGCAACTCCTCCTGCAAACGTGGACATTGACCAAACCTGTCGCGTGGAAGTGGTCGCCATAGCCTTGGTTCACACTCAACGCCATGTACTCGATGAAACGAGAATGGATCGTATCCCATGCCTCTACTGGAAACGATTGTGTTGAGAGAGCGTGATCCACCGCCGCTTTACTGTGGAAAATTGCCAGCCTTTTCCTCCGGAACCCGGGGGTCGCCCCCCCCCCCCCCCCCTCCAAAATCCCCCCCCCCCCTGCGAACCCCCCCCCCCCCCCCACCCCCCTCCCCCTGCATAAACCCCCCCCCCCCCTAACCCCTCCCCCCCCCCCCCCCCCCCCTCCTCCCGCACGAAAGCCGGGGGCCCAGGCCTACGGGTTCGAACCCCCTCCCCCACCCCCCCCCCCCCCCTTTCGGATCCGGAAAACCGGGGGGTCACGTACCGGTTCGAACCCCCCCCCCCCCCCCCCTCCCCCCCCTACTCACCGCCAGCAAACGACTCCCGGTCCCCACCACCGTCCGCATCACATCCCCCACTGGTGTTCCCAGCACCACTGTCCTCACCACCGCTGTCCCCACTGGTTCCACCACCGCCCCTACTGTCCCCACCAGTGGCCCCACCACTGTCGCACTGTCCCCCCTGTCCCCAGAACTGTTCCCACCACGGTTCCACTCTCCCCACTGTCTCCACGGCCCCAACCACTGCCCGACTATCCCCACTGTCCCCACTGTCCCACTGACTCCTCCGCTGTCCCACTGAGCTGTCCCACTGTTCCCACCACTGTCCCCACT